TCCAAAGGAGGGGGTCTCTGCCTGGGCGGAGACATGGTAAACTCCAAAGAAAAAAAGCAACACCCCTATCCAGGCAAGTAACAATTTAAAAGGTGACATTTATGAAGGGTTTCCTCCGTTACTGTTATGGTGATACCAGCTTTCCTTGTATCATATAGATTCTCTGGCCGCGTAGTCTGGGCACACCGGTCCTCTTCTCGGGAATCGCATCAGCGCATTGTTACGGTAAGAAAGCAGGGCGGGTGCTCTCGGCTGGGCTCCTAGGAGATGTGACTGAGAGCGGAACCATGGTTCAGTAGCCGGCGAGCCTGCCCGGAGGCTTTTCGGCTGAACTCCCACCCTAGCGACGCGCGCCTCGTTGCTAGGGGCGGGGGTACCAGCCTTGGAGCTCGGAGGTTGCAGAAGCTCTCAAGGCTCGGCTCGGCGCCCCCGCCAGCCTCACCTCCCGGCTGGGCAACTGGCCGATGGGTATGGAGGCCGAGGGGGGTAGGAAGGGGCTCAGCGGGTGGGCGGAAAAGTGGGAGCCCGTGTTTTCCCAACTGCAGAGGTTTACCTGGAGGAAGCAAGGAGAGACTTCCGAAGGCCGGGCTTGGATTGGGTGGCTCTGGATTCCCATTTTGGGCGTCGCCAGGCCCCTTATCAAAAATAAGCTTAGGCCGAAATCGGTTTGGCTCAGTGGATAGAGCTTTGGCCTGCTGACTGAAGGGTCCCAGGTTCCATTCCGGTCAAGGCCATGTACCTTGGTTGCAGGCATGTCCCTAGTGGGGGGTGTGCAAGAGGCGGCTGATCAATGTTTTTAACTCTCTATCCCTCTTTCTTTCTCTCTTTGAAAAATCAATAGAATATATATATAAAAAAAAAAAAAAAAAGCTTAGGCTGTCCACATAGATTGGATGAGGGCCTTTGTGATCTGAATAGCCAGAAAGGGAAAAAAATGGACACAGTTGTCCTTAAAGCTTGGGGCAACCTTGGGATTCCGGTCTTCTTGTTTTGAGTCTGGGCAAGATCCTCTAATTCTCTGGGCCTCCGTTTCCTCCATTTGTACTATTAGAGGGTTGAATCAGACCTCCTCCCACGTGCTTCTACTGTGATTTTGTGTTTGAGCTTTGGTTTCCATGTCTTGGTCTCCCAGAGTGTAAGGTTGGATGTGCACAGCGGGAGATAGGAAATCACAATTTACGTAAACAGTGGACCGAGAGTCTAGGGAAATGAGACCCTGTTCCCCAGCTCTGCTCCCTCAAGACACAGTCCTCTGTGTCCCAGTTTCTTCGTGGAAAACAATAGTTGGATATATGGGGCAGTATATCAAGGAATATGGCATTAGAAAGCTAAAAGAGAGTTCTCCGGGTTATGTAGGGTGGCCATTGGGTATCTCAGGGTCTTTGGAAGGCAAATTGGAGCAGAAATGGATGCTGGGATTCAGATTTAGACCATCAAGAGCCAACAAGGACATCCAGAGCCATGTTGAGTTTATAGCTTTCCCAAGTTCTGCCATGTTTTCTGGGCCTGTGATCGAATTAAGCAGAGTAACTGCTTCCTGAAGGATTTGCTGTTGGGCAATTTTAAAGAACCCTTAGATTGTTGGACTTAAAAAGCTTCTTGCCAAACAGACTCTTCACCTTAGTATGCCATTCATTCATTCATTTATTGGACAGATTGTTGCCTTGCATCCATTCTTCCATGCTATGCTTAAAGCACAGATACAAACATGAACAAGGCACCGTCCCTTCTCTCAAGTATGTTATATGTTCACAGTATAAACAGGAAGATTACTGAATAGTATTTTAATTTCTTAGGTTAGTCAACTCAATAAATTTACAACATGGACATATCTAAGTACATACACTTTGTTTTTGAGATTTTAAATTGCCTTGGTATATAATGTAATAAATTCTTAACCTTAGTGTGATCAATCACTCTGGTCAGAAGACAAAGTTGGCTTCAGTTTAAAATCCTCCAGACTCATATATCCATTTGTATCTGCTCTTTGAGTATATTTATGTTTGTTTAATATATGTGTACTAAGGGCAGAAGTAATAAGGGTGAAATTGCTACTTTTAGTAATGCTGTCAATCATGTAAGTAGCCATCACTGACTCTCAACCATTTGCCTGGTTGAACTGAGGGCTTTATATGCACTGCCAATTAAAGAGATGCAGTATATAATAGTATGCTGGTCAAGAGCGAGGCCTCTGAAACAAGATTACCAGATTCAAATTTTAGTTCTGCTACTCATTTGCAATTTATTTGTAAAGTTGGGCAAGTTATTTAACATCTCTGTGCTTCACTTTTCTCATCTACAAAATGAGGAAAGTAACTGTTCCAGAGGCTTGTGGAATAGATTAAATGAGTTAATAAATATAAAGCACTTAAAATAGTCCTTGGCACCTCCTGAGTGCTATTTTTAATCTTCACAAAAGCCCAATTGTAGAGTTATCCCACTTTACACACAGGAAACTGAGACTTAAGTTCAACAAGTTGCCCAGACCTAGTCCTAAAAATGATGCCAGTGCCCTCAGTCAAATGTTGTTCTGACTAGCCTGTGCTGCTATTAATTATTAGACACTGTCAATTGATAATTTGAATTTATTTATTTGAATCTCAGAATGGAGTTGTTAAAGTGCAATAAAACTGGTTTCTTTTTCTTTTCTTTTTTTAAATATATTTTTTATTGATTTTTCACAGAGAGGAAGGGAGAGGGATAGATAGCTAGAAACATCAATGAGAGAGAATCATCAACCAGCTGCCTCCTGCACACCCACTACCGGGGATGTACCCGAAACCAATGTACATGCCCTTAACCGGAATCAAACCTGGGACCCTTCAGTCCGCAGACCGATGCTCTATCCACTGAGCCAGACTGATTTCGGCAAAACTGGTTTCTTCTTTGTAGATTTTTATAATGGAAATTCTGGACTAGAATTTCTGGACTAGAGTAAATGATAGTTACTATAATAACATGGCTACTGGACTAGAAGTCAATTATACCTAGTTATAATTTTGAGTAAATAATTCTCCAGATCTTTAAATAAAGTGTTTAATGTGATTTTGAAAAGCTCTTTCATCAAAACTTCTACGACCCATACTTATTAAAGTATTATTTTAAACAGGAGAAATTGCCTTTCTCACAAAAAAACACTTAAATTCTGAAATAAGCAGTTACCTATAAAGATTTTTGATGAACAGAAGTACTATGAGTAAAATAAAGATGTTTAATGGTGCATTTAAATAGATGCTACTTTGCATATTTAAACATATATAATTAATATTATGGTATACTTTCCCCCCAAATATTGGAATTTTGTATTATCTCTTTCCTTATGAGGGAAAACTACACTTAACAATCTTTTTAGTTAACAAAGTCCTTAATTTACCTTGTAAATATCCTTTCAGTACAAATATATGCTTAGAGAAGAGATTAATTTAAGCATCTTTTCACTACTTACAGAGATTAGGTAGTGGCTGCCTAAAGTATTTCCCAAAGGATAAACATTCAAAGCATTGAATACTTCAGCTCGCCAAGAAGATTCTATTGATTTGGGGTAAGGTAAAAGTTATTTTTTTTCCTCTTAGAATGTTCCATGAATATTTTTCAGGTGGGAAGTATAAGAAGATACCAGATAAGAATCTAATCAATTTAAGCAGAGCCAGTCCATTTATAGCACCTGCAGTTTCCAGTGACCTAGATCTTTGAATGGCATCTGTCCTTAGTTTGATGACAATGTTGAAAAATGGGTTAGGCTGACAGATAGGATGCCCTGCGACCTCTACCAATCTACAAAAGGTACACCATCCCAAGCTTTTTGCAAGCTATCCTGGAATTTTTCTCTGATTTTTTAAATTAAAGTATTACACATGGGTCCATATCCCCCTTTGCCCTCCCACCCTACTCCCGTACCTGCTCTTCCCCCTCCTGTTGTCTCTGTCCATTGGGTATGCTTATATGCATGCATATAAGTGTTTTGGTTCCTGTCAGCACATCTTGTGCTTATTATAGAGAACGCTAGAAGTTCTGAACCGGAAAGGACGATAGATTCACTAGTTCACAAATGTTTTATTACACTGAGCAAGTCACTTAAGGTACAAAGATGAATATGATAGAGTCCTTCCTCTTAGGGAGCAGACAGTCTTCTAAAAAGCGTTTAATCTGAAGTTGAATTTTATAGATGGGGAGGCTGAGGCATAGAGTGGGGAATGGAGGAACTCAACCAAGGACACACAGTGAGATGAGGTAGAGCTGGGGCTGGAGCTCAGGGCTCTTCATGCCACAAACACTGTTCTCTGCACTGCGTTGTGCTTTTATACTGGTTACCAACTCCTTTCAAGAGGTCAATTCTGGCAGCTTCTCAAAATGTGGGCTTAAATTCTTCTGGAAAACTCTATTTGTTAGTGGTAATGAGATGATTGAGAATCCTTGGTGAGTTTTAGCTGCTGTCTCCTTGGTTATTTTCCTCTACACTCAAGGTTCTTTGGCTGGTCTCATAATCAAAAGACATCATGCATATTAGAAAGAGAAAATAACCAAATTTAATACATATGTATGGGAATCCCACATACATGAGAGAGTCAGAGACTCCACATGCATGAGAGACTCAGAGACAAAGGGGGAGCAGATGTAAAAGACATCCTGAGCTAGGGATGAGGTAATACACCTTGGGGACTTCAAAGAGTCATTGAAAGATGATAAGAAGAACAGATGTTTATTAAATAAGTTTTCTCTGACATACAGGTGGGTCAAAAAGGTTATTGCTGATAATACCTTATCATGGGCAAGGCCTCTAATTCAATTTCTAGGTAGTTGAGGGGAGCCATAGAGAAGTTTTTCTTGTGCTAAAATTGCCTTTAGCTCAAAATAGTCCACACACCTCAGAAGCACATATTGTGGTACTCGTTCTGAATCCCTATACCATACTACCATCATTGTGCCTAACAAAATTAACTGTGTATTGTTCTTTTTACTGAACAGGGAACACAACTTCCAACTCCTAGCAGCCACAAGGGATGCTGCCCCTCAGGAGCCATCTGAAACGAGCTCCTCCTCAGAAGATTTTGTGTAGGTTCTGCGCCATGATGGGGAAACTGCAAAGCAAACTCAAACACAGCACTTATAAATACAGGTACAGCAGCCCTGCCGTGGATCCTGGGTTTCATCATGCCCGTTACAATTCTCCACTGAAGAAAGAGAAGGCCCAGAGCAAATATTGATGACCTTCTCTGAACTGTCGGTTAGCTCAGTTTTCTTCTGGATAAGAAACAGTCTAGCCCTAACCAGTTTGGCTCAGTGGATAGAGCATCATTCTGTGGACTGAAAGGTCCCAGGTTTGATTCCAGTCAAGGGCTTGTACCTTGGTTGCAGGCACATCCCCAATAAGAAGTGTGCAGGAGGCAGCTGATCAATGTTTCTCTCTCAGCAGTGTTTCTAACTCTCTATCCCTCTCCCTTCTCTCTATAAAAAAAATCAATAAAATGTATTTTAAAAGGAAGAAAGAAAGAAAGAAAGAAAGAAAGAAAGAAAGAAAGAAAGAAAGAAAGAAAGAAAGAAAGAAAGGAAGGAAGGAAGAGAGGGAGGGGGAAACAGTCTAGCTTGGTAGCTAGTGTCTACACCCACACAGAGAGGGGCCCTACACCTTGGGAATAATCTCTAGAGTGGGTCAAGATTCCTGGCTTCTTGGCTTCAGGATTCCCCTTTGTCAGATTCAGTCACTCTGAGCATCTCTGTGCTGGCAATGTCAGTGGGTCTCCTTTTCTATCTTTCTTCTCCATCTGGCCTGAATTGCTGCTTCTGCTCACACTCTTCTTCCCCTTGCTCACTGTGCACTCGCATACCATTGGGCCTCTCATTCTCCATCCTCTCTTTAGCAGGCCCGATGCAATTATAGAAGAGAGAATTCAAGCTACAGCTTTTCAGGAGTATAGCCCAGCTCACTCGGACACCGTCTCTGTTGTTGCTGCTCTGAACTCAGACCTCTGTGTCTCCGGAGGAAAAGACAAGGTGGGATTGCAGTGCTTCCCAGGGGAACAACTTATCGCAGAGAAGGGAAGATGTTTGGGAAGCAGAAGCTGTTTTGTTTTATTTTTTCATTTTTGGCAGCAGTGTCGGGTAGTGTAAAATGTGGTTTTAGAATCAGAAAAACTGGGTTTAAATCCTTTCTCTGCCACTTCCTCCTACTTTGAGCAAGTCTTAATTTTCTTGAGCCTCAGTCTATTATCTATTAAGTGGGGATAATAATGCCAACCTCACAGGACCATTGTGAGGAGTAAATGGTAAGATCATGAGCACTATGTCACCCATGTACTTTTTATAAATGACAAATATTATTCCAACCAATCCTTCTTTACACCTACACACAGACACAGGAGTTATGTGTCAGCAAAAGGAGCTTTCTAGTCTCATCTTTTATACTGCTCTTTTACCAAAATCTCTACATTGGTGTGTGTTGTGATTCCTCCCTTCTCTGGTTTTGTGCTTCCTCCAGCTGTCACTTTGAATCTGGTTGCTTTATCTCCCTCATAGGTGGATCTCTCATAGCACTTATAGCTAGGATATTGGTAGCAAAAATATTGATTCACTTGTGGTAAATAATGCCTCTTATTTTCAATAGCTTTTTAGAATCTTCAAATTCCACTCTCACACTGTATTTCACTGACTTTCAGATGCACACATTTTCACATTTTAACATCTCTGAAATCAGTATGCATTTGAAAATTGATAGCATAATTGACAGCATTTTGTCTTAATATCTATATTATCTTAGTCATGAAATTTTTATTGATATGAGCCTCACCTGTGAGGGGTAGATGGCAAGGATTAACATCTCCATTTTGAAGATTACAAAACTGAGATTTAGGTCAAGCGCTAACATACTCTTTACTCTCTAGCAATGAACTACAGAGACTAGGCCAGAGAATGCTTTTGAAATCCCATTTTGGGAGTTGGGGGTTCTTACAACAAAATATTAAAGTATATGCGTGGAAAAAAGATGGAAAGAAATTATTAACAATGATTCTCTCTGGCAGGCGGGATACGAATGAGGTTTTTTGAAATTTAAAAAAGTGCAGTCTGTTTTGCAATAAATGGGAATATACTTAATGCTAGTGAACTGTATACCTACAAATGATTAAGAAGATGATAAATGTAAAAAACTAAATAATACAATACAAGTGGGGGGGGGGGGTTGAGAGATCTAATCCTGTGTAGAATTCTTCATTATCTATTGTACATCCAGAACCTCAGTCTGAATTAGTTCCCCTTAGGGAGTGTTTTCCCAAGCCCATCAGAAAGGCTCAGAGGGGTGGCCCAGGAGCTGGGGAGAGACAGGATAGGTCAGGAGGAAAGATAGAAACTCAAAGTAGGGGCCCTGAGGAGGGACACAATAAAACCCATTGCTTGATGCAGGTCCCTGGACACAGAGGAAGAAGTCAGGTAGAGGATGAAGTAAGGGCTTGTTGTTTCAGTTAAACACACATTCCGTTAAACTAAACTGTGCGCATGACTCTCTGCAGACAGTTGTGGCCTATAACTGGAAAACCGGAAACGTGGTGAAAAGGTTCCGAGGACATGAACATGATATCACCAAGGTAAAACTGAAAAATGATTATTATCATGGAGGGGATTTGAAAAGGAATAAAGGAACACCTAATCACTCTAGATGGTAAGAGTGATTGAATGTTCTTAAAGGAACTTGCAAAAGCTTTATATTTGGTGCTGTGAAGTCCTACTCTAGGAAAAGCAGAGCAAACCATTCACTTAGCTATTGGTACAGGGATATTTGACATAATTTTCCTCTTGTTATTAAGCCCTTAATAGCTCAGGTGGTAAAAAGAGAGTAGCTCTCCCTGGCTGATCCTAACTCAACAGGGACATGCATTGAAGGCTTCCTGTATGTTTGCTACAGTTAGGAAAATGACATAATACCTACACTTAGTTGGAAAAATTTTTAAAAAGCCAACAATAGTTAAATAAAAATTAATTTGTTTAATAGCTTTACAGAGTAGAGTGTGTTTCCAGCAAAAATGACAGAGAATGCCAATTTATATGACTCTCCTCTCTGAAGTTCACCTGAATGGACCAAACTTAGGGTGCTGTCATAATGAAACTCAGCATCAGCCAGTCCCGTAGCACGGAACAGGATGTTTTCCTGTCAGATACAGTGCATTATGAACCAGACTGAGAGAGAAGGTCGGGCTGTAACCTTCTTATCCCCAGGTCTTTTTCTACTTTAAGATCCAATCAAACAAGCACACCAAAGCTTTCTTTCTCGAGCAGATAGCCTGTCTTCACAAATCAAACCAGTTCTTCAGCGCCTCTCGGGACAGGATGGTCATGATGTGGGACTTGCACGGCTCCTCACAACCCAGGCAGCAGTTCTCGGGCCACGCCATGGTGGTCACTGGGTTAGCTGTGAGTCCTGGTAGGTAAAGCTGAGCCCTCCCCAGGGCTTTGTACTTTCTGAAAAGCCCTGCTCCAAGTCTGTCTCATGGGCCATCTTCTTGTCGTTGTTTCCAAAGACTCATCACAGCTGTGCACTGGCTCTCGGGACAACTCCCTACTCCTGTGGGACGTGGGGACTGGACAGTGTGTGGAGAGAGCTTCGGTCTCCAGGAACCTGGTACGAACTCTAACTTGCTATGGAGCAGGCAGCAGAAGGGAGGATAGGGTGAGGAAAGGGCGTGGGTGAGAGATCAGGAGACCGAGACCAGGAGACTAGGCGTTAGAGACTTGGGTCCTTATTGCTCCCCACCCCTACCTCTCTGTCAAACCCCAGCCTCTCAGAGTTATCAGATTAGATGACCTCTTAAGGTCTTTTGCTCCAGAGAACAATTCCACTAGTTTATATTGGAATCTTAAATGGTGTCCTCACTTATTCCTTCAAAACACAATTATTTTATTTCTTCTGTGGGCTGGACACAGCTTAGAGCAGGGTTAGTGACTAAGGACAAAGTCTCTGACCTCCAAGAGCTCACCTTATGCTCTGTGTTCTGTATCCATAACATTATGCAGAGAAATAAGAATGACATTGGTTTCCGTGTAATCTGCTCTGTTTATGAAGACCAGCGTTTCCTGGTAGCAGACTGGTATATAAACTCCACAACCTTGGGGGTCAGTCAGACCTGAGTTCAAACCACCAATCCATCACTTGTTAGCTGTGTTTTCCCACGAAACTTACTTAGAGTCTCAGTGTCTTCATTTATAAAATGGGGAGAATTATACCACCCGACATGGTAGATGTTCCTTTAGTGGTCATCAAATGTCAGCCACAGTTATCTTTTCCAATCTGGAAGACAGCTGTCAGTGACAAGATGCGCTTGCCCTATGCCTTGTGTATTTGTGGAGGTTCCTGGGGGAAAAGAAAATCCCGTTACCCTGGCTTGTTTTGAAAAGCTTTTCATGTGTGCCCACCAGAGGGCTACAGAGATAAAGCAAAAATACGTTTTTAAAAATTATAAATCACAAGGAAGATCCCTTCCTCAACCCTCTGTGGCCTAGACCCTGGCTTCAGTGGTTCTGCTTCAGAACAGGGACTGCTCCCCTGGCTGCCACAGGGGAACCAGCTCTAGCTCCTTACCAGGTGTCTGGGGTTCAGGCAGCCTAAGAGTGCCTGCATGCATTTGGGTACTCACAGCTGGCCCAGCTGCTACTCTTGATGCTGATAGCCAAGGAGATGCAAGGAGAGCATGACTGGCAGGTATCTGCAAAACATGAAATCCCTCTCTCCAAGTCCAATTTCCTAGTTCAGTATCCTTGAGAAGTGGTACAGAGGTGCTATTTTGCACTCTTTACAGGATTTCCAGCAGAGGAATGACTTGGTATGGAGACATTTTGAAAATTGTGCTTCTTCCAGGTCACTCACCTGTGTTGGGTCCCCAGAGAACCATATGTACTACAGACTTCTGAAGATAAAACCATCAGGTGGGCTCACTGAGCAGCAGTGACGGTGATTCTGGTGAAGATTTGTGGCTCCCACGCTTACACGACTCCATTCCCACCCTGCTTCTCTGCATTGCTGTGCCCTTGCCAGGGCATTCTGCCCCTTTGCCCCTCACTGGTCCTGGGGCCTCTCTCATCTGGCCCCATGGAGTCATCTGTATAGAGGGTGAATGCTAGTCAGGCCAGGAAAAACCTGAAGCAGCTGATCCTTCCCGCCCTGGCTGTGTGAGCTGTGTGAACAGTCAGATTGACCTCAGGATCAGTCACTTGCTCCTCCTACACATTCAAACTGCCTGGCTTTATTTGCTCCCCCGGCTCAGATTCCTCACGTTCCCAATCACCCAGCCTCAGGCGAAGCCCTCTCTGGGAAGCAGAGTAAGAATCGCCATCAGGGGAATCAAATGAAGTAAACTTCATTCTTAGATAGAGAGCATGACTTGAAACTGTGGCAATCAGAAGAGATTCTACTTAGAAAATGGTAGGAATGAGACAAGAGGTAAATAAAATACTCCCCAGTGAATCCCATAACCAGGGTTGACCAAGTCTGTAGATCTTTTGTTTATGAATCTGGAAAGATGATTGCTCCTCTGTATCTTTTTGACAAAATTATAGCTCAGCTAGTGTGGCTCAGTGATTGAGTATTGACCTATGAGCCAGGAGATCACGGTTCGATTCCCAGTCAGGGCACATACCCAGGTTGCAGGCTCGATCCCCAGTATGGGGCATGCAGGAGGCAGCTGGTCAGTGATTCTCTCTCATCATTGATGTTTCTATCTCACTCTCTTACCCTCCCTCTCTGAAATAAAGATATTTTTTAAAAAATTAGAAATCACAGGGACAGAAATACCTTCTTTTCATTGAAGGCAGCATCCCAAAAGACCAAATTAACCTATATAACTAAGATGCTTGGTCTAAATTTCTATTAACTAGATCTCAAAATAGAACTCAGATGTCCTTTTGTTATTTCCTGCCAGCTTGGAGTCTCCGAGATTGAACTGGTTCAAGCTGCTGTTTTTAGATATATTATGACTCCATTCTGACTGGCCAAAGCAGCAAAGAGCCAAGACTTATGATTGCAGGTGACTGTGGTATATTTCAGACACATTTACTATAAACTCATTTTTTGCTATAATTTCTTTCAGATTATGGGACAGTCGGGGGCTCCAGGTGGCTCATATATTTCCTGCAAAGCAACACATTCAGACTTACTGCGAGGTCAGTGAGGATGGACACAGGTGTCTCTCCTGCAGCAATGGCTTTGGAGGAGAAGGCTGTGAAGCCACGGTGAGTGGTCATGTCGGATCCAGGTGTCTGGTTGTTGATGACCGAATAACTTGCTCAGGCCTCATGTCTGTCCTGGGCTACACAGCAAGTCTGCTAATGGCTCAGGCTTATTCCCAGTGCAGACTATAAGTGATCCTTTGCATTCCAAATTCTTCTTTCAAGAAATGCCCATTAGCCTAGGGCCATGGTCTGCAAACTGCGACTCACGAGCCACATGCAGCTCTTTGGCCCCTTGAGTGTGGCTCTTCCACAAAATACCATGGTCTGGGAGAGCCTATTTTGAAGAAGTGGTGTTAGAAGTTAAGTTTAAAAAATTGGACTCTCAAAAGAAATTTTAATCATTGTACTGTTGGTATTTGGCTCTGTCGACTAGTGAGTTTGCCGACCACTGGCCTAGGGCTTTCTGAATTGGTTTGGGAAAGAGAAATGGGATGAGAGTCAAGAAGACTATATCCTAGAACCGGCCTGCTAATGTTTATCCTCCCAGCAGAGCTTAGGAAGGAGAAGGACTGTGTGAAGAACTAAGTGTTTTTATTGTACCTGTGGCCACAGTAAAAGAGGTTCAAGCTCTTTAGGAAGTTGGAGTTCCAGGGATGATCAAGGGCCCACCCCATCCCTTACCCATATAGCTTTCCTTTCAATTAATTTCCAAAGCACCTTGGATTCCCAATAGTAGAATACCAGTTAAAGGGGTCATCTAGTATCTAAATAGAACAATTACAGCTCCCATTTTATTAAACATTTTTTTATGGCCTACGCATTGGGCTGAGCACATTCCATGTATGATCCCCTTTAATCCTTAAAACAACCAGGAAAGCCCTAGCTGGTTTGGCTCAGTGGATAGAACACTGGCCTGTGACTGAAGGGTCCTGTATTTGATTCCAACAAGAACACATACCTGGGGTGTGGGCTCCATCCCAGGTGAGGGCATGCAGGAGATAGCTAATCATGATTCCCTCTCATCACTGATTTTCTATCTTTCTCTCCCTCTCCCTTCCTGTCTGAAATCAATTAAAAAATTTTTTTTTAACTTGAACAACCACGTGAGTCAAGTAGTAGTATAATTCCCATTTTACAGTTGAGAAAATAGAGACGTGGCAAATTGTACAAGACCACACCTCTGGAAAGTGGTAGGTCAAGGTTTGAAATCCCAGGCTATTGTTATAGCCTCTCTTCTTCAAGTTAAGCATTTCTAGCTTCTACAACTGTTCCTCAGAGGACATGATATCCAGTGATCTCATTCTTTTTTGGACACAATTCAGATTGCTCTCCTACCTGGAACATTATTCTCCACGTGTGTTCTGATCTGTATCAGCAAAGAATGGGACTGGCAGAACTGGTGCCTCACTGTTGTAGGCAAGGTTCAGTGACTATGCATTAAATTAGGTCTGTGCCTGCATGTACTTATGAGAAGCTACTCCTAACTGCAGGGTCCCCACAAGACCCACAGATACCAAGGGGCTGATATAAGGAGCTCTTGAGTTGTCATAGAAAGTCAGTAACATCATGCTGTAGGACTTGGAGCTTCGCTTTCCTAACCAGTATGTTAATGAGGAAGGCAACAACCCTTCAGGCACATTCTTAACCAGGGTTGTTTGAGACATAGTTGGGGCTTAAAATAATCACTGTGTGGATGAATGGTTGGCTGTGTTGTGGATGGGATGGATGAAGGTAAGGGTAGTACAGAAGTAAGTAAGTGGAGACAACAGGTGGGTCATGAGATGGAGAGGAAATAGATATCAATGAATGAAGCTGGGGAAATGTTTAGTTTATCTGAGGTAGCCTATATCATTACTTTGCAGTTGTGGGACCTAAGACAGACGCGGAACAGAATGTGTGAGTATAAGGGGCATTTCCAGACTGTGGCATCTTGTGTGTTTCTACCAAGCGCATTGGCCTTGAAGCCTATAATCGCTACCTCATCACACGACTGCAAGGTGAAGATTTGGGACCAAGATACTGGAGGTAAGGGACCTACTATTAGTGCTTCTTAAAGATATGTGAAGTCTCAAAGGCTTCCTGAAAACGTTCTTTCCATTTCTCAGCACACCACCCATGTCCTGCCACTGTTCCGCCCCCTTGTGGTTAAGACATGACAGAATCTCTGTGCTGCCTCCGCTAGAGGCCATCATAGCTGTTTCTATCATATTGTACAGACTCATTCCTGATAGCTCAGATATATTTGGCTCTTATATTCTTTCTACTTAAAATTCCTCATTAGGTTTTAACTTGTGTTGCTCAAAATGTCTGAAAAGAGAATAGAAATTGCCATTTAAAATTTATTTTTCAAGGACTAAAATGAGAGCCTCAGCTCTTGGTGGGTTGAGGTGGAGTAAAGATAGTTTCAGAAAGACTGTGCCCTGTTTTGACTCTGCAGCTAAGGTTTTGAAATTATCATGACACTTTAAAGCACCAGAGAAAGCTGTTTTAGGGAGCACAGCTCCCTGGAGTTGTCAATGAGGTGGTGTGCTGATCCAGCTCCTAATGTTATTGTTAAGTATTCAGGAATATTTAATATGGTCATGGTGGGAGTACTTATGCCACAAGATTTGGCAAATGTTATGAATAAAGCTTGTGTTCCCTTCCACCCTATTGCCTCCATGCCATTCTGTCCTGGACACAGGATTCTGCTAAACACAAGAATATCATTACTTTAGAAAACTTCAAACCAAGTCCCTCTTACAGTAATCTTCCAGAAATTTGGGTCTCATCAAAGGAGGGTAGTGTAGCTCCCTCAGAGAAAGAGGTGAGATCAGGTCAAAGGGCACACAAGCTTAACTTACATAGTAAGGACAGCCCCCTCCCCTCCCCTGGAGTTGCCTTCTCCGGTCACCTTGATGTGGGAAGTGGGAGATATAGCTTTTTAGCTTCATTGTCATAAACCTACTGTTATGAATCGCAATGTAAATATCTGTGTTTTCTGATGGTGTTAGGCGACCCACAGGTTGAGAACCGCTGCTGTAGAGCCTAAGACCATCGGAAAACACAGATATTTACATTAGGATTCATTAACAGTAGCAAAATTACAGTTATGAAGTAGCAACGACAATAATTTTATGGTTGGGGGTCAACACAACATGAGGAACTGAATTAAAGGGCGCAGCATTAGAAAGGTTGAGAACCTCTGCTCTAAAGCATGGGGTTGCCTCTGTTGTATGGGTCGGAGACACATAGCACACGCTTTAATTACGTGGAATTCTTACAAAGACACTCACTGCATTTCATGATATTGCACTCTTGGCCTGAGTGGCTGGTTTCCCACTTCCTCCCCCAGCCTGCCTGCTCACCTTGTCTCTGGATGGATCAGGACCTTTGACTTCCCTGGCCATTGGCGACACCATCTCCTTGCTATGTGCAAGTTTCCACAGAGGAATTCACTTGCTCCAAGTGGACCGCAGCCCAACGCTGGGACTGCGGGAAGTGGCAGTATTCTGAGGCCGAGAGAAGTTTGCTGGACCAAATCAAAGCATGGCCTCTCCTTTCTCAGTGTGGCTTTGTTTTTCCATGTTATCTTCAGGGCGGGCAGAGTGGGGTTGGTGTTCTTTGTTTAGTTCACTTAGAAGGTATATCAGTGTTAGAAGTCATTTTGAAGCCAGTGGTTCAAACTCAGGTACAGAGTTTAGAGACATGGATTCAACATAAGGTTCCCAATCTGTGTTAAATCCAAATGCAAGTTTTAGCGAGCTCTTGGGACTGCTTTTCAGAAAACATATTTATGGCTCAAATGGTGACCTGTTAGGTCTCTGTCATAGGCCTCTGTGAGATTCAAGACACAGTCTGTTGAACTGACCTGTTCCATGTCTCCACAAAAGGAAGAAAAGCAAGGGGGAGAGACACTCTGCTTTGCTTGCCTCAAAATTATCCACACGGGAAAGGACAGTGTGGCTCCATAGAGGAAATACATTGCAGACATGAGACTCAGCTCCAGTCACTGCAAGAGAGCAAAAACCTTGGCTTCTACTCAAAATAGTAGAAGAGAGGGTGGCAGATCCCTGCTAGATCAGTGCAAGGTTGCATGAAAGTCAGATCTGAGATGGCCTGAAGAGGCCGTCAATCCCAAGAACCTTGTCAGAATTATAGTAGTTACCAAACTGGGTCTGTGGATAAGAAAATGGAGAGGTTGCGAGATTAACGCTAAAACATTTTTATTTGTAATATATATATATATTCATTATTGATTTTTTACAGAGAGGAAAGGAGAGGGAAAGAGAGTTAGAAACATTGATGAGAGAAACATTAATCAGCTGCCTCTTGTACACTCCCTACTGGGGGTGTGCCCGCAACCAAGGTACATGTTCTTGACCAGAATCGAATCCGGGAACCTTGAGTTCTCAAGCGGATGCTCTATCCACTGAGAAAAACCATCTAGGGCTATTTGTACATTTTAATATTTTTTATTGTTTTATGTAAACTCTTTCCAGGGAATGGCCAGAGTGAGGCAAAGGGAATATCTGCAATGACAATAGGTCATGTAGGATAAAGTAGAGGCATGGACTCAACTGTGTGCTCCCACTGAGCCCCCGCAGCGAGGAGGGCAGGGTGCTCAGATCTGCCTGTGTGGCCCGCAGGAGATCAGTCCCACCTGGTACTCACAAGCCCACTTTCCTCCAGGGAAAATAGAGTTCCTCCCGTCTTCAGGTAAGCCCATGCCTGAGGCAGCTGCCGCAGGGGGATTCCCTTTCTGAGGAAAGAAAGATTTTGAATTTCCTCACTGGTCCCTGATGCCGGTGGCTGACAGCCATCTTCCTGTCTCCCTCCTGCTCCTCTGTAAGTCTAGCTCCCTTGAGCTGTCTCCACTGCCTGGGCGGGAGAATCTTAAGCTACTGCAAAGCGTCAAGCCCGAATCTGACTCTCCAGTTCTCCATTTAGCTAGATCTTGGGCAAGTTATGAAATCCTCACTTGTTATATGGGACCATAATCATAGGTTCCTCACGGGGCTGTTCTGAGGACTGAGTAGAACTATATTAATGCCAAGAAAGGTACCAGGTGCTTATAAATGGTAACCATTGGTATTTATTGCCCTCTGTCCAGACTAAATGCTCTCTTTTCCACACATTTACCAGTCATCTGTTCTCCTTAGATCTTATTTTCTAAGACTTTAGTCATAGTTCAGCTTTCCCTTTGATTCCTTAAGTTATGGCCCGTGGCGCTCTGGAAACAAAAAGGGATAGTGAGCATGGAAACTGCTTTCTTGAGCACCTATAGACTTATTCTCTCTCTGATTCTTATTGTTATTCCCATTTCACAGACGAGGAAGCTGAGACTCAGGGAGATCTAGTCCTTTGCCTCAGGTTGTACATACGTAGGAAGAGGAAGAACTTAAATTTGAACCTGGGTCAGCCTGACTCAAAGCCAGATTCCTTTCCCTTTCCCTTTCCCTTTGCCTAATGTCATAAAGTTCGCTTTAGAAATGGGCAGACCATGACATTGTGTACTTTCTAAACCAGTTATTAACTTTTTGGCTCCCGAGAGATCTTCCTGGCGAGATGCCTAGGAGCAAGTGAGACATGTCTCAGGGAAAGTTCTAGAGCACCTATCAGTGCTACAGTTGACCCTTTCTTCTAGAAGGAAGACAAGCAGTAAATCAGAAAACCCAAGGGAGTGGGTTGGGAGGGGGGCCCAGGGAAGGGGAACGGGCTGCTGTGAGAGGGAACATACCCGTGAGAAAATAGCAGGCCTCTGATGGATTAGCAGGGTTCTATTACCAACACAATTGTTTCCCTAAACCCTACACATGTGCTTGATGTGTAAATTCCTTATCTGTTAAGTAGAAAATAGATTAATAAATGTAATTAATTAAAAAAATTCAGTGTTATATGTGCTAGACAGGTACTCTCAACACCTATTATACAGGCTGCTGAAATGTATTCATTCATTCATTGGACACTTCATTTCAGAGGCTGCCCCTCGAAAAGCATAGTAAGGAATTTTCCAAAGACAGTTGACCTTTCTCCAGGAAAGTATATAAGCTCTTGGAATCTGACCAGTTCTGTAGTCAGTATTTAAATACATTTGTGTCTTTGCTTACATATTTATCATTTAAGTATATTTATATATCTAAGGAAAGGAGTGGTGATTATTATTGGCCTTCATTTAGACACAGGAAATGAATAAAACTCAGATCACTTGGTGTTTTTAACTGTTTAACACTGAGAAAAGGAAGCTTAGCTATTTCTGAGTAACCTCTGAAAGCATAATTATTAAAGAACAGCTTCTTCAATAAAAAATGCACAGACTAGTTGTTTCCTGAAATTAGCATTTTGGGTACAGGCTGCCCAGCTCAGACTACATTCCTAGCCTAAGTGTGGCCCTGAGAATAAGTTTTTGTCAATGGGTGGTGAGTGGAAGTGATGTGTGTAACTTCCACCTTATTTGCTTGAAAGAAACACATTTGTCCACTAGCTAGAATGCACACTGCCAGTAACAGCTCAACTATTTGGGCGAGGACAAGATGATGAACCAGCTCAAAAGAAGGAACCTGGGCCCCCGAATCACCTCAAGGAGCTGAGCTGCTCCAGCTGGATTGTGACTTGGGAGAGAAATGAACTTTATTCTTTTTAAGCCATTGCATATATTTTTTTAACTTTTAATTCAAGTGTACATAAACCATTTCAGACATCTTAAGCTTTTATAAACGGGACACACTAGTAACCAGTACCTGGATGATGAAGCATAATAAATCCAGGAACCTCCAAGCCAATCTGATAAGGGATTTGTAACAGCAAACTGGTTCTACTTTATAGAAGTGGAATCAGACTGTATTGTAGTAGATGGAAGTGTGGCCACAGATTTTCCCATCCCCGTGTGGCTGACCCTCTCAATGTGAGATCATCTCCCAGTGGGTAGGACCTATTTCTCACCCCTCGAACCTGCACTGGCCTTTGACTTGGTGTGACTGACAGGAAAACGAACGCTGAGCAGCTTGTGCGGCTGCGGCTTCGGAGGCCTGGCAGCTTCACTTTCACTCTCTCGGGGTGCTGCTCTCAGATCCGTCAGGAAGGTGGCCGAGGCCACGTGGAGGAGAACCAAGCGCCACCAGATACGGGGATGAGGTCGCCTCGGACCCTCCAACCCCACCAAATCTGCAGCCAAATTCAGATGACATCAGAAAAACCACAGCTATCCCACACAATCATGAAAAATAATAAAACATTGTTTTGAGACACTACGTTTTCAGGTAGCTTGTTACACAACAATAGATTCAAGTGAAACAAGCATATGATCTTATTTTGGTCAGGCTTCTTTGGATCAACATGCTTGTGAGATTGGTGCGTACTGTTGGAGGAATATTATTCCTTCCTGTTGCTGCATAGTATTCTAATGTGGGACATTATTGTAATTTATCCGTTTCACTACTGATGGCTTACTTTCTGGTTTAGGGCTCTTACAAACAGTGCTGCTGTGAACTATTGATTAATAGCGCTGCTGTGAACTATTCTAATAATATTTCATTTGGTGGACATGCCTGCATTTGTGTTCATTATTTAATCAGCGGAGGCTTCTTTGGGCTATCATGTAGCTTGAATTATTAGCTTTAGCAGATGTCACTTCTTTTCCAAAAAGATTGTTCCATCTCATATTCCACCCACTGGGCAGGAGAGTTAGCAGAGTTCCAATTGCTCCTTGCCAACACTCTGTGCTCTTAAACTTTGTGACCCTCCGTTTTAAAGATGAGCGCATAGATGTTGGAGATAAATTGTTAGCATCAGGAGCCAATGTTAGAAAGAAGCTAGACCCATTTGTTTTGATGTCTATCTTTCTTCCTGACACTTCAGGGTAAATGGGTGGAATTTAACAATACAAACATAGGTACACAGTGCTCTATAGTTTAATACTACTTTCACAACCATAATTTCATCTGAGTCTTCCAATACAATAACATTGTAAATAGGCGGCCTGGGAAATATTACTCCTACAGAGAGGGGAAGTGACTTGTCAAGGGTGGGAGCCCAGGTCTTTTTTTCTTCCCACCAAAATCCTCTCCTTCCATTGGCACTGTCTTGGTAGCAGTGAATGTGAAAGCGGAGGGGAGGGGGTAGCTAGGAATGGAATCAGACTAGGAGGTATTTATCACTATGGAAAAAGTGACATAGGTTAACCATCACGGACAGGAGGAAAGATTAATCCATTCCCAGATATTCTCTCCCCAGGGTCTGGAATGCAGCATCCTGCTTGGTCAAGGTTTTTTTTTTTTTCCTCATTTTTTTAATTAAGGTAGTATATGTGTACATACCTTACCAATCTGGTCAAGGTCTTTACGCAACAAATTAAAAAGCCCAGATTTGCCCTGGTTGAGTGGCTCATTTGGTTGGAACATTGTCTCCATACACCAAAAAGTTGTTGGTTGGATTCCTGGTTAGGGCACATTCCTAGGTTGCGGGTTCAATCCCTAGTTGGAGCGTGTACTGGAGGCAACCGCTCAATGTTTCTCTCC